GGCATGTGACTTGTCACTGGAGCACATTACAAGTAAACATGGCATGTGACTTTTCACTGGTGCACATCACAAGTAAACATGGCATGTGACTTGTCACTGGTGCACATCACAAGTATACATGACATGTGACTTGTCACTGGAGCACATTACAAGTAAACATGGCATGTGACTTTTCACTGGTGCACATCACAAGTAAACATGGCATGTGACTTGTCACTGGAGCACATTACAAGTAAAAATGGTATGTGACTTGTCACTGAAGCACATCCAGCAGGATTTCTCCTAGGACACATAAACAAATCATCACTGATACTGTCAATGAAAACAGGCCCGCGATGCCCATAAAAGGCCCACCTTGCCGCCAGTCAATCCAGGCCTACAGAGCCTGGGTCTAAGATAATTAATCCATTCATGGGACTCCAGCCTGGCTGTCTTCACAGACAATGTGGGCATATTGATTCTCAGACAAAGCAGCATCCCAACTTGGGACACTTTTGAGCGACTAGGCAGATAGAGAACTTTTCACTGTTGCCTGAAAGCTGAATGATTGACAACATCTCAACTCCATATTCCTTCAGCAACTAGATGTTCCTGAACATGACCCGGTTCCATACTTTCCTAACTGACTTCCTGAGGTCATCAGTTTCCTCATACATGTTGTGCTACATGTTGTACTACATGTTGTACTACATGTTGTACTACTCATGGGGAAAACACGCAGCAATTTTCAAATGTGAATTACTGATGTTGCTTGACTTCTGACCATCAGTATCAATGTGTAGAATTGTCAAGGATGGCAAATTATTAGGGGGATAAATATCCCAGTCTACTGAAGCCAGTATATCAGTTACTAAAGCTGGTTTGTTGCTATTTACAGAGTATTTTGTTCCGCTCACTTAGTAACATAGTAATTATATGTTTGTCCCCAGTGTTCAGCGCCATGTTCATTGCTTGCAAATAGGTTGTCAGGACCAACTACTGATACCAAACCCACAGGAAAATAGGAATTATTATTTGTCAATATGTTGCCTTGATGCAATATACATCAGCCTTCTGTTGAGATAAATATACCTCTTAGGCAGAGGCCAATAAAATATGAATGATTGGATCAACAGATGCAGATAAGGGGATAAAAAATATGTCTATCACTGGCCCGGAACTACTCATGCACGGCAGCGTGTGTGTCTCAGTCACCTGCCTCCGCAACATCGACCCACACGGGTCAGTGATGTGCATCCAGGCGGAACCACCCTCAACTAACATGCGCACTCAGCATTGAGAAGAAACACATCAATCATCACCATGACAACGTATTGGTCTATAGAGGATGTCTCCATGGTAACCTCATATATTTCTAAAACATTCTGTGACATTGTGAGGATCATGGAAACTCCAGATCACCTGAATGTTTGGTTCCAGCTGAGTGCCCTTAAACTTGAAGGGAACATAAGCCGATATAAAGGGAATATAATCCATATGACCTACATTTCCCACTGTGACCTGGACATCTTAAATGAAGAAGCACCTGCCACCTCAGTTGCCTTGATTTACCACTGATGTAGGCAGCTCCCTAACTATGCATGCAGTTGAGAGAGAGAGAGAGAGAGAGAGAGAGAGGAGAGAGGAGAGAGAGAGGAGAGAGAGAGAGAGAGAGAGAGAGAGAGAGAGAGAGAATTGTTGACTGATGGAGCATTACAATTAGAGGAATTAGATAATTTCTCATAACACCATTCACATTCCTCAAATATTAGTATTATGGTTATAAGGGACGTAGTCAAATAACATGTGCAAACTGTTAATTACAGCGTGTGATTGCTAACTCCCAGCTACACACAGACACAAGGTGATGTAACCGCACAACTGTAAATACGGCCTAACACTACAGCACAGTGTGTTCAACACTTTCATTACCTGTACAAATATTAGTCAAGCATGCAGTAATGACCCATGAATGTGTGGTTGTTTGTGCCATATTGATGTCACATTCAAGAGCTCATTAATGTTGGCTGTTATTGACATAAGCCCCCTGTTTACACAACACCCAGCATAACAGAGCCGGTTCATCGGCTCTCACCTTTCAGGTAATCCACAGGTAATCCTACTCAAAGCATCGTTAGTGATTAGATACCTGTCATCACTGTCAATAGTCTTGTTTAGTGAGAGGCATAGCTGATCATATTTCACCCTGACAATCACCAGAACACGAGCAAGGTGATCACAACAATGAACGAATAGAATAGAGCTTTTACGAACATCAGCACTTCTTCAGGTGCTCATCGTGGACAACTACCCAACTAACAGGTGATTAAGTCGAGTAGTAATAAACAGGCATTTGTTGAAGAGAATCTCCCGACAACATGGCTGCATGTCAATCACACTGCAGTGATTTCAGAGGTCATACAGAATAGGTTGCCTTCAGATACTCATATATTAAAACAATGTCTTCAGAGGGAATGAACAAACATTAGACAATCATCAGTATGGAGCTGGAGCCTTCTAGAAAATAAACAATGTGTGTCGGTACAGGGGACACCATAGACACTTGGTATACCATTCAGAACATAGGTGTGATGCCTCCTCAAAGGAAGCTGGATGGATAATTACCTCACCCAACCTCACCACACCAATGAAGTAGGAAGCGTACAGCTTTCACTTCCTACTTCCTACAGTCCCGAGTCTCATACAGGGACACACAACATGTAGGGGGACACTGGCAGGGCTTTACGTGGGCAGGCAGGACTAGGCAATACTTGAGACAACCCTGCCTGGAGGAAACTAAACATGCCTAATTGCTACAACATGAAAGAAGTTTACAAACCGTGGTGAAAGTAGTTCCGATTATGTGTGAGTGAGTGAGAGAGTAAGTGAAGGAAAAAGTGAGTGAGTGAGTGAAGCAGGGAGGCACACAGAGAGAGACGGGTGGATGGTCAATGTGATTCTGATAAGCAGGGGTCTGGTATACATGGTATACCCAACACTCTGTACCACATGGCCAATGATGTTCATGGACATTTATCTGAGTGCCACCAATAGCCTGATTAAATAGAGTGGTGGACGTGGAGCCCCCCCCCCCGTGTACAATATGTGGCTGCCTGCAGGGGTGTGGCTGGTACTGCAGAGCTGTTCCAAGGATCAGTGTGTAGGGGGACTTACAGACTCTCCTTGTCAGATTATCCACACATATCTGTGTCAACATAACCATTTAGAATTGCTTTATGATACCCAAAGTTTAACTTGTTGGGCAGACAACAGGGCTGAACAGGAACCTGCCGGGACTGTGTAGTAACATCATGTCAATATGCCCTCCACTGTTTGGGTAACGCCGCACTCAGCAACATTCCAGCTATATGACGATGGTCGGTAAATAATTAAGTTTGGACCAGACAATCCTGTGATTGACATCATGATCATCAATTTGCGCAATTGGAATACAATGACACGTATCAACTAAGTCAGCGAGCCTGACCACCAGATCCCGTTAGTCGCCTCTTACGACAAGCAAAGTCGCCTTTCACAGCAAGCAAGACCTATGATTGCTCATGGGACAGTGTCCTTCATGGCAGCAGTCACAGGTCAAAGGTCAGTTTCACAACAAGATCTTATGAAGACAATACCACAGTTCACCTCATTACATCGGCAAATCAAGCAATTTAAAGCTTATGTCATTTCAGACTTAATGCCACAGGGCCATGATAACACAGGCAGCCATGATAACACAGGCGGTCAACTCAGTTATAATTGACTAATTAGTCATGAGCAGCTAATCACTTGGAACACCGATCATTACGTAAGAGAAATCTGGCGTCTATGTTCAGGAGGACATGATAAACTGGTGATGGTGAACAACCAGAGACGAAGGTTGGACTGGTCTGGGATTTATTGCTGGCAGTCCCAGACAACTGAAAAGTGTCCCCAAGTCGTAAAGTTTGGGTAATATCAGGTTGTGGTCCACCACTGACTGCACGGCGACACGCCACGACCCCCTGCACTGTGTTCCATGGCAACCAGATCTGCAACACAGACAACCCACCTTCACAGGCTGTCACGGTGGCAGTGCAGAATTAACACAGTGTGATTGATGCACTCACACTTAATCACTTCTGCATATTTTCACCACCTTGATTCAAACAGTAATACTTATAGTTTGTGTCCCTTTTGACCTTCCATAGCCCTGTCACTACACAGGTGACACATGTGCCCTATGCCTCCCGACAACACACAAGTAATGGCACCTAGCATCATAATAACAAATAACAACGTCTACCATAATGTCATCAGGCATTTAGAAGCTGGGGTATTAATGAAGACAGGACTGACTTACAGACTGAAAGTCATGATCAAAACCTGTGTTCAGTATCTCCAATAGATACCTCCCCCTCCCCCCTCCCCCTCCCCCTCCCCCACCACTCACAGCCCATGCATATGTGTATTGTGTCAGTGACCAGGATGAGTACGTCCTGCTGATGTCGCTGCTGCATGGCACTGTGTCATTAAATGCCTGCTGCAGTTTTTAATGATCAGATAATGCCCGTCATAAAGCAGCCACCCGCCTAAACGCAGGCCGTTTTGGACATGTCACAAACTAGGAGATGTTCAACTCCCTGGTAAATGATGCATGGCCTACCTTTCAGACAGTGAAGCCTATCATAGAAGGCTTTTGCTTTGAACTCTTCGGACTGAAACCCAGACCTGTACCCCGCCATCCCAGGTTGTAGAGGACAGTGCTACCTCATTCTGTTCACAGTAAGTATCCTCCAGTGAGTACCACTACATCATGAGTCTTTGAGCGTCCACATGTACAGGTGTACAGCCAGGCCAGTGTCCAGTCAGTGTGTGTCCAGAGTGTGTGACCAGAGTGTGTGACCGGTGCGTCAACACAGCCCGCCTCAAGTAGACTGACTATCTTCCACGTCTGCTGCACCACTGCTGCAGGGTAGGGCAGTCAACCATGAAGTGTTGGTTGTCGTCTGCCAGATCTGGGCAGGATCAATACTCGGTGGTCTTCCCGCGTGGAGAGGCCTGGCTGAGACAGAGGGAGGGTTGCCTGTGGTGGGAGCACACTTGATTGGCCCTGTGTCACCAGGGTCACACTACACCCACTCCTCCTCAAGCAGGACTCCTCTCCTGTAGATGTGACTGTCAGAGATGTGGTCAGGCAAACAAGTCCGGCCTCCTATTGTCCACCTACATCAGAAGCTGCACCACCTGTTGCTTCGGTCATCACATCAGTCTCACGGCCACCGGCCAGGGGACCAGCATGTTATCATTACAATCAATACTGACAGGATTCATTACCAGGGATTGTCTTACAGTAATCTCCCACTTCAAGTGTTGTCAGTCTTCATTAACATGTCTGCTTATTAGGATAATATATTCAGTGTTCATGCTTCGCTGGTCATAGGAAACAAGAACCAATTACCGTGTCACGTGGGATGATAATTTCAGAAGTCACCCTTCGACACAGATGACAGACGCCGCTGGATTCAGCTACAAAGGTGACTTCATCAAACGGAGGCGGTCCCATTGACATCAACTTGGCAACAATATGAAGACAGTAAGTCTGTTATCATTCTAATAGTCACATGTTACAACTAGCCAGACATCATGTCACTCCCCTACCACGCTGTCTGAACAGACAGTGTTACTGTGTTACAGTAACACACAAGATATTTACCAGTAGCCATGATGCGCATAAAATGTCACAACCTTGACTTTGAACTTTTAAACATGTGACATTTCTAAGTTCAGTGATACGAGCTGATTCCTCGTACTCTGAACCCTGAACACAAAGAGTATCATTTGATTGTTGAATAATAGATGCCACTTTTAATAATCATTGATGACTCACTGACATACAGAAGATGGCAGTTGCTAATAATTGTCTGCATGTACATGGTGAGACTGCTGCCCGAGTAGGGACAGCAACGTGGAGGGTTTCTGTCAGTAGGGGTGACAGGTATCATTTCTTGTGCGCTCGTTGGTCTTTGTTCCGCATACCCTTCATTAGCTACAGAGACAGATGGAGCAGTGCTGTGTGGAGGGGGATGATGAGCTGGATCCCAGCAGGCACACAGCCTGGCGAGTCCTCCATGTAATGCACAGCAGCAACATAAAAAATACACCCCATTATCCTGATTAAGAGAAATGTCCTTCACTGAGAATACAACACAGGACGTACTGGGGGCTTGACTTCTGTTTGATATTTACAGATGTTCAAGACAAGAATTCATATAAGTTTTCTTTTCATTCTTATTAGTATTTTTGTTATTAATGTACCCTTTCACAAAGTTTGTTCTGAGATATGTTCCTGAGTGGAGTATAAATTTAGCATCATTCATCAATAATATCCGTTTTCCTATGAAACATCAAATTATCTCAGTCAATGTGCCAGTACTCGAGTTCAGCTCCCGACATATTCTGCCGCCCAATCCCTTTTGTGGAGGGAGGTAATCCCTCTTTCACACAGTGAGATCCCCCCCTTCCCCTCCCAGGAACTCAACCCCTCCACGATAATCCATGACCAGCATCTCACACCTCCCTGCCTTGTGTGGCAAGAATGATTATGTCCGGACTTGACACCAGGTGGTGCGTCTCGGTTGTGTGTGTAAAGTAGATCACTGAACCACACATCAACACATTCACTGAAATTCATACATCATTAGTCTGTCCCTGTGACCAGGAAAACAGCAGTAACACTTGACCTCTGGTGGGTGTTGACCCCTCCATCAGGGTTAAAACACAGCTCACAACAGAGGGCAGGAAGGAAACAGTCAACAGTGTTAATGCAATTAAACCAGCGCATGTCAGGTCACTGCAGGAGGAAAGCCCCGAATATCTGGCTTGTCCAACATCATGGCCTTATCACACAGGGGTGATGTTGATCAATGATCACAATCGGGGGGAGCTACTGGGTCCCAGACTTGTCCAACATCATGGCCTTATCACACAGGGTTGATGTTGATCAATGATGACAATCGGGGGAGCTATGACCAGGCAATGACCAGTTGGTTGTCTGCGACATGCTGCACCATTACCCACCCAAATGTATATCAACAACGATACGAAGGCTAACAAGTCACTCATGAGCAGGCATAAATTACTCAACAGTCACAAGAGATGAAAAATGACATGCTGAAAACCCTAAGAGATGAGGTTTCATTGTTGACCATATATTACTGGCTACAAAGTATAAATCACCAACAGACCTACCCCTATCAACAGACCTATCCCACAAACAGACCTACCAATATACCCGGTACCTACCCCATTCAAAAGACCTACCAACAGACCTACCCCAAACAACAGACTTACCCCACCAGCAGACATACCAGCCTATCAATGGAGACACCCATGAAGGTAGTTCCGAGAATCACAAGACCGGGAATACCATGATCCAGCTTACACCAGCTACCCCAGTCAGCATCCCGTCATGGACATTTTCCCATTATTTAACCTTCCCACCTGCTAAGTCCTGATGTGTGTAAGGTATTACCTGACTTGACCCACTGCAGAGCTGACGCCATGGGAACATACATGACATCATGCACGGACACACGGTACACCAAGTATCTACTGATTGTCCAGGATGCAGACACAAGGTACACCACGTATCTACCGGCTGTCCCGGCACAAGGTACACCACGTATCTACCGGCTGTCAAGGCACAAGGTACACTATGTATCTACCGGCTGTCCAGACACAAGGTATGCCACATATGGACCGGCTGTCCAGACACAAGGTATGCCACATATGGACCGGCTGTCCAGACACAAGGTATGCCACATATGGACCGGCTAGCCGTCCAGACACAAGGTATGCCACGTATCTACCGGCTGTCCAGACACAAGGTACACCACGTATCTACCGGCTGTCCAGGCACAATTTACACCACGTATCCCACTGGCTATCCATGTTGCACAGACTCAAGGTACATCACATATCAATGTTCAGCTGTTCATGGGAGGAGACTTGCCCCATCCTGCACATCCAGACTGCCCCACCAGGCTGTGTTTGCCGGTTCCCATAGATCCCACACACAAGAATGTCAGGTACATGAAGGTGACAAAGAAAAACGTGCTTGTCAAACACTGCCACTGAAATCAATGTGCCATCAATATCTCCAACCACACATACCCCTTAATACACAACATTTACCAAGCTATTTACAGCACGTGACTGTGTTAACTTAATTGATGGATCAGAGATCTATTTCAGTGAGGTAATATGCAGTGGACTGTTTAGTGTCGCACTGACACAGCGAGCTGCTCAACACCTCCAGCGACACCTCAGTCCTCCGCACTGACACAGCGAGCTGCTCCACACCTCTAGCAGCACCTCAGTCCTCACCCTAATGCGTGCTGGTGAGGATGGTGATGAGACAGTCAGCCGTACATGTTTACATTGGATCCTGTTAGTTTCATGTAAACAACAGAACTCTACTTCCTCAAATAAACACTATCTGAAATGTATGGGAGATGAGTAAATAATTGGTATTAAAACCACTCAGTGAGAAACACTCCCAACATCTGCACTCAACATTCAAGGTTTGGTTGACTGATATCTCAAACAGAGATTCACAAGATTCTGTTCTCACTGACCAGTCTTAGGTGAATATGTCTCAACATCACTCATACCGCCATCACATACCACATATGTAGGCACATATCTCACCTACCTAACCACCATGACACACTGTATATGTAGGCATATATCTCACCCATCTAACCCCAATGACACACTGCATCTGTAGGCATATATCTCACCCATCTAACCCCAATGGCACACTGTATATGTAGGCATATATCTCACCCATCTAACCCCAATGGCACACTGTATATGTAGGCATATATCTCACCCATCTAACCCCAATGACATACTGTATGAGTAGGCACATATCTCACCTGTCTAACCCAAATAAAACAATGTATGTGTAGGCATATATCTCACCCATCTAACCCCAATGACAAACTGCATCTGTAGGCATATATCTCACCCATCTAACCCCAGTGGCACACTGTATATGTAGGCATATATCTCACCCATCTAACCCCAATGGCACACTGTATATGTAGGCATATATCTCACCCATCTAACCCCAATGACACACTGCATCTGTAGGCATATATCTCACCCATCTAACCCCAATAAACACTGTATGAGTAGACACATATCTCACCCATCTAACCCCAGTGGCACACTGTATATGTAGGCATATATCTCACCCATCTAACCCCAATAAACACTGTATGAGTAGGCACATATCTCACCCATCTAACCCCCAATGACACACTGCATCTGTAGGCATATATCTCACCCATCTAACCCCAATAAACACTGTATGTGTAGACACATATCTCACCCATCTAACCCCAATAAACACTGTATGTGTAGGCATATATCTCACCCATGTAGCCCCAATAAACACTGTATATGTAGGCATATTTCTCACCCATCTAACCCCAATAAACACTGTATATGTAGGCACATATCTCACCTATCTAACCCCAATAAAACACTGTATATGTAGGCATATATCTCACCCATCTAACCCTAATGACACACTGTATGTGTAGGCATATATCTCACCCATCTAACCCCAATAAACATTGTATATGTAGGCACATATCTCACCTATCTAACTCCAATAAAACACTGTATATGTAGGCATATATCTCACCCATCTAACCCTAATGACACACTGTATGTGTAGGCATATATCTCACCCATCTAACCCAAATAAACACTGTATATGTAGGCATATATCTCACCCATCTAACCCAAATAAACACTGTATATGTAGGCATATATCTCACCCATCTAACCCCAATGACACACTGTATGTGTAGGCATATATCTCACCCATCTAACCCAAATAAACACTGTATATGTAGGCATATATCTCACCCATCTAACCCCAATGGCACACTGTATATGTAGGCATATATCTCACCCATCTAACCCCAATGGCACACTGTATATGTAGGCATATATCTCAACCATCTAACCCCAATAAACACTGTATGAGTAGACACATATCTCACCCATCTAACCCCAGTGGCATACTGTATATGTAGGCATATTTCTCACCCATCTAACCCCAATAAACACTGTATGAGTAGGCACATATCTCACCCATCTAACCCCAATGACACACTGCATCTGTAGGCATATATCTCACCCATCTAACCCCAATGGCACACTGTATATGTAGGCATATATCTCACCCACCTAACCCCAATAAAACACTGTATGTGTAGGCACATATCTCACCCATCTAACCCCAATGACACACTGTATGTGTAGGCACATATCTCACCCATCTAACCCCAATGACACACTGTATGTGTAGGCACATATCTCACCCATCTAACCCCAATGACACACTGTATGTGTAGGCACATATCTCACCCATCTAACCCCAATGACACACTGTATGTGTAGGCACATATCTCACCCATCTAACCCCAATGACACACTGTATGTGTAGGCACATATCTCACCCATCTAACCCCAATGGCACACTGTATATGTAGGCACATATCTCACCCATCTAACCCCAATGACACACTGCATCTGTAGGCACATATCTCACCCATCTAACCCAAATGACACACTGCATCTGTAGGCATATATCTCACCCATCTAACCCCAATGGCACACTGTATATGTAGGCATATATCTCACCCATCTAACCCCAATGACATACTGTATGTGTAGGCATATATCTCACCCATCTAAACCCAATAAACACTGTAACTATGTGTAGGCACATATCTCACCCATCTAACCCCAATAAACACTGTATATGTAGGCATATATCTCACCCATCTAACCCCAATAAAACACTGTATGTGTAGGCACATATCTCACCAATCTAAACCCAATAAACACTAACTATGTGTAGGCATATATCTCACCCATCTAACCCCAGTGGCACACTGTATGTGTAGGCATATATCTCACCCATCTAACCCCAATGGCACACTGTATATGTAGGCATATATCTCACGCATCTAACCCCAATGGCACACTGTATATGTAGCCATATATCTCACCCATCTAACCCCAGTGGCACACTGTATGTGTAGGCATATATCTCACCCATCTAACCCCAATGGCACACTGTATATGTAGGCATATATCTCACGCATCTAACCACTATGGCATACTGTATGTGTAGGCATATATCTCACCCATCTAACCCCAATAAAACACTGTATGTGTAGGCATATATCTCACCCTTTCTGCACATGTGAGTGAGTGAAAGCTGTTTAACGCCTCAGTCAACAATCTTCCATATGTATCATAAAGGCCAATTAACAGTCTTGGTCTGACAAACCAAGGGTTGATATAATGTGCAACATGATTGCAAACATCACAAGTCCACAGTGCAAGGATGTCAGAAAATGTAAACCATTTTTACCTCATGTCCAGCATGGAACACAAGGCATAGACACACCATTCATCATCCCCACCCCTTCCCCACCCCTTCCCCACCCCTTCCCCACCCTGGTATACTGGACACCCCAGCACCCTGGTATACTGAACACCCCACCACCCTGGTATACTGAACACCCCACCACCCTGGTATACTGAACACCCAACCACCCTGGTATACTGAACACCCCACCACCCCGGTATACTGAACACCCCACCACCCTGGTATACTGGACACCCCACCACCCTGGTATACTGAACACCCCACCACCCTGGTATACTGAACACCCCATCACCCTGGTATACTGAACACCCCATCACCCTGGTATACTGACACCCCACCACCCTGGTATACTGACACCCCACCACCCTGGTATACTGAACACCCCACCACCCTGGTATACTCAACACCCCACCACCCTGGTATACTGAACACCCCACCATCCTGGTATACTGAACACCCCGACACCCTGGTATACTGAACACCCCACCACCCTGGTATAATGAACACCCCACCACCCCGGTATACTGAACACCCCATCACCCAACCACCCTGGTATACTGAACAACCCACCATTCTGGTATACTGAACAACCCATCACCCTGGTATACTGAACACCCAACCACCCTGGTATACTGAACACCCCACCATTCTGGTATACTGAACACCCAACCACCCTGGTATACTGAACACCCCACCATGCTGGTATACTGAACACCCCACCATGCTAGTATACTGAACACCCCACCATCCTGGTATATTAAACACCCCACCATCCTGCCATCCTGGTATACTGAACAACCCATCACCCTGGTATACTGAACACCCCACCATGCTGGTATACTGAACACCCAACCACCCTGGTATACTGAACACCCCACCATGCTGGTATACTGAACACCCCACCACGCTAGTATACTGAACACCCCACCACCCTGGTATACTGAACACCCCACCATCCTGGTATATTAAACACCCCCACCATCCTGCCACCCAGGTATAGAAAACACAAGGCCATCCCCCACCTTGGTATATATATATTAAACTCTCCTAACATCCTGCCATGCTAATATTTAAAACACAAGACCATCCCCCACCTTGGTATATATATATTAAACTGTCCTACCATCCTGCCATGCTAATATTTAAAACACAAGACCATCCCCCACCTTGGTATATATATATATTAAACTCTCCTAACATCCTGCCACCCTGGTATATAAAACACCCCATGATCCCCCCACCCTTGCATATTGACAACCTCCAACCCTCTCCCACCCACATATACTGGACATCCACCCTGACCTCCCATCCAGTATGTTGAACCCAGGTACTTACCCTGATACAGATGAATGTCCCCCCATGCTGCATTGAAGTAGCGTCCATATTTGCACACGATGTCCACCATTTCTCTTCATCATTTCGGCCTGGCCAGCAAGACCACACTACACACGGACTGACCACAGGTGCATCCCATCCTACTCCAGCAGTCTATGTCTGACACCCATTAAATATACATGTGCCAGTGTAGATACACACAAATCTGTCCATAGTGTCAGAGCTGAGGAGCTGCCAATGGTTGTGTGGCTGTGTGGGGTGGAGGCTGGTGCCAGCATCAGGCTTGGATGGTCAGGGTCTGCATGGGGGGCAGTGTTTGTACAGGACAGGTAAATATCAAACATGCACCAGACATATGCTGGGTTCACTAGGGATCCCAGACCTACGCTCCTCACACAACGGCCTCAGTCACAGCCTTCAGTGTCTGAATAATTAATACCAGTGATATCTAAGATGTCGACCTGCTTCGCTGTGGGACACACTACGGCAACTGTTGCTCCTCTCCTGGAAAATTAACCAGTGTCATGCACAAACAATGACGGGGTGAAGTGACAGTATCCGACTCTCCAGCCATGATGGTGATGCAGCAGAATCACAGGGAGGTATGTGTCACACTGCCTGGCCTGGCATGCTCAGTCGCCACTGCCCATACTGCTGGACAAACATCGGTGTCATGACAAGAACAGCCTCATGGTGGCACCCATTGTGGGTGTCACACGTGGAGCCACTGAACTTGTCAGATGTCGTGTGACTGGAATCTATCTGAATCTTGGACCAACAAATGAATTGGCTCAGACCATCACCGCAGGTCAGTTGATCTCAAAGACTTCCTTCCATGAAGGTTCATCAGCCATCTCCCCACCAGGAATCTGATTGTTTGTAGCTATGCTTGCTTCTTCACCACGAGGGGAAGAGTAGATGGTGATGCCTGGTCTTGTTACTATGAGAGGCTAATCATATAACCTAGATACAAACAAATTTGTCAGTGACAGTTCTGTTTCATATTGCCATCGGTCATACACATATTGTGACCAGGTCCAATAAACCTGGGCAAGAGTCCTTGTGAAGCACACTTTCAATATCTGCTAGTGGCCAGCGAGTCACGATCACTACCTGGAGTGTGGCTCGGTCAAGCTGGTCAGTCAGTGGTCACCTAATGAAACTTACATTAGGTATGGAAGGTAAACAAATCGGCCCAATATTGACAAGAGCCAAAACTGATTGCGGCTGATTGTTACCTTAGAGGTCAGGGAGGTCAAGAGAGACAACACGGTCGTGACAAGGCTCACTCCTGACAATGTGACATATCTCCCTGATTCTTCCACGCCTGACTTCATTCACATTGGAACCCACGGAGTCGGTCAGCTGTACATTTGGTGCCACTGAGTTAAACCCGCCTGTAGTCGTCAAAGCTAGGACGATATGAGGTTATATACCATTCTAACACAACCGTTGGGTCTGGTGATACCTGAACACTGCAGCACAAGACAGAGCCAGGTTGCATGTTCTAAAACATAAGCAGTCACGATCAGGATTGTGTAGTTGCATGCTGCCTTCGACAATCAATAGTCTCAATGCCAAATCTGTGCAACCATGGTACAAACAATGCTGAATTATAGGCTACTGAGGAGCTTCAAGATTGGAACCACTGCTCTCAATTGCTCATTAATAAATTTCTTAAATTTCCAGTTCCTTAAAAAAAATCTTAGTGATAAGACAATTGTAACTTCAATAATCACTTTTGAGTGATGATGTTATGAGCCTTTACTGCTGTTGAATGATTATGTTAAGAGACGTAATGACCGTTGAATGATGATGTTAAGAGACGTAAGCACTGAATGATGTTTTAAGTTCCATCTATTACCATGATTACACCAAACCCCATAATGCTAAATACTTTGTCTTTGTCCCAAATGTGCCTCTGTTCACCCAGCAGTGAATGGGTACCCAGTAGGATGAGATGGCAGTGTGGGTGTTAACCTTCTAGCGCCTGACGGGCAGCTTAGGTTGCATACTCCCCAGGGAGCTGAGAATGATTGTTGAGTGCACACTGATCCAGTGACCTTGATAATAATAGCGCTTTGAACATGCCCCTGTGTGGTGTGGAAATATGCACACTATAAATGGCCGACTTTTATTAGTATTATTATTAGTATTATTGTTAGTATTATTGTTAGTATTATTGTTAGTATTATTATTATTATTACAGACTGCTGTCATGTAACTGGAATAATGCTGAGTTCAGCGTTAAACAACAAATTAACAAACAAACAATAATGTCTATGTAACTATCTATAAACATAAGCATTCTGTTATTTTCAGACAGTCCGAGGAGTCCCTGAAGAGTGTCTACATGCAATGCTGGAGCCACAGAGACAGAGATGGATCTTAAGCATAGAGGGGGAGCCAAGCCATAGACGTAGCTCCCAGGCAAACAGAGGAATCGGAGGGGCCAGATCCTTGAACATCCATCACTAACTACATCCTGTTTGGATGCAGTAGAACAAGGTAAATGCAGCATATCCACCGATCCTCAACAACCAGCTTAGCCGTGACTGGAGTGTCTTTCAGACTTCATTTATCTCACCAGCTGTTTCAAAGTGTATCATGAGCAAAAGCTTAGATCTGCCATATTGATATCTCCAACCATGCTAGCTGATGAAAGCACAGAAAAAAGACAGACTCATAATGATTATGATATGACTTGAATCGAGCTCACTGATTTATATTTAAAAAGGGTTATAAAAAATGTAACACTTGATTTAGTGCTGGTCCGTAGGTGTTATTTTTTCCCAAGATCAACAATTATAACTTTCTGAAAGCACGACCAGGGGAAGGAGGCCACTTACAGGAATGTATTCACAACAGTATCTCATTCAATGACAGTATAAACCTCTCGTCATTAACAGATCAAGCATTGTATAAATACTTGGCACCATGCCAAGGTCTATACAATACTACCAAATAAGGCTGTTGAAAACAGGTCACATGACCAGCTGGCAGTGATCAATCTCCCGTGTCACATCTTACTCGTACACGCTTACCGCAGGTGCCCTCCACCCCGTGATCTCTTCATGTGACCCAGTGCCTTCCCTCGTAACTCATGTTTATTTAGAATGATTCAAATTGTCAAAAACAGCCATAAAGCTCCAGGCGGAATACTTACTTGCATAGATCGGAGAGATACTTAAACAGTTGAGAAGGCTTTGAGTTAAGCTTGGCATGATTACAGACGATTGGTTGACTTTCACACCCAGGAATTCCTCACACAGCAATAATACACACCAGTCACAACTGGCATTTCACAAACAACCAACAATACAACTCACAGAGAGTTCAAGCCAAATCAAAAAGATCAAAGAACACCTTTCAGTGCATTTTCAAATCCCATAAATTAATAGGAGTGAGTGAGTGAGTGAGTGAGTTGAGTTGAGTTTTACACTGTTTTTAGCAATATTCCTGCAATTTCACAACAGAGATTGGCATCAGACATTGAACCCATGTGGGTAATCAAACCCTGGCCTTTCGTGTGACAAGCAAAAGCTTTAACCACTAGGCTTAACCCACCACCCCCATAAAACCATGATAGCATTAAACCTGGATTCTCTCAATGACATGACCCGTTAAGCCAGGATTCTCTCAATGACATGACCCGTTAAACCAGACTTCTTGAACAATTTGGAGGACAAGGCAAGCAGAGTTGCCTCCCTTACAGGCAGTGGTTGAAGCACTGCCCCAGTGTATTTACAAGTCACAGCCATTCACAATATCAAGGACAGATCACACGGGTGTGTGGTACAGTTAGAAAATATAAAACACTGGCCAGTACTTCCTTGATCAGGAAGCCGGTGATGTTGTGTTGACGGAGAACATGCTACTTGTCACGAGGTTGGTTAATTGGAGTCACACCCAACAAAACCACAGTGACGTAGTTTAACTTCCAAACCAACCAAGGCCAGACGCCATGAGGAACCAAACCACACACATGCAAGTGGTTCCCTACATTGTGTATAAATCAGGGGATGAGATGTCATATTTTGTGGGTTGTGTTTTTTCCAATTATATTGCCTTTTGAGCCACATTGAGCACACTGATTGATATGCTGTAAGGGCTCCTTATCAAGCTTATGCATGCGATTACATTGCTAAATCAAGTTTCACATACAGTTCCAAATCTGCAATGCAACATTTGGTAATGTGACAAACGTGACAAACACAACAAATCACAACAACAAAACATCTCATAAAATGAAGGATTCTTGGATCATTACACCAGCACATGAACATAATGAAGGCAATTTCTGGTTGAAAGATGACAATGACCCTCGGTCCTGACACACATGAAACTGAATCCTGACCAGGTAACTTTTAGTCTGAAAACCAGCAGTTTATTTTTTAGTCAAACCATCAGTTATACATGTTTCACAGAACAAACAGGTCATTTTCCTGTCGAAAACGGCATGTGAAACTCTCCACCAGTCTCTCAGTTTCAGTATGAGTCAGAGCTGAACACTCACAGGACATTACACAATACGTCACCATTTGTTTTCCAAACCCTTATAGTATCTTTTTTAAAAATTATTTTTATTCACATGTTACTCAAACACAGTATACAAGTGCACATGGTCAGCGACAACTGGTGTTCCAAATGATACATAAAACAAGGAATAAATGTGCAGGTCAGTTAATAACCTGTCAAGATAGTGATATTGTTTCTTTGTATATTCTTTGCATATTTATATACTATCAGTAATATAGTTTTCTACCAACAACTTAATACATGTAGTTGCATAATGAGACATATATAAAATATTTTACATGAAGGTTCAGCAATTCAAATACAGGATCAGTATTATCTTTTGAATCATACAATAATGAATTGATTGAAAGAGGTAGTGTTGCATACTCATTAAGGAATATTTCATAATTCTCCATCATCAATATGTCACCATGAATCACTGACAGACAAGTGATGTTCTTCTAACATCATCCTTATTTCCATACTGATCACTAGTTGCAGATCCTGTTGCCATGGTATCGGTGTCAGGTAGATAATATCTGTTATCATAGAAGTGATCAGGACAGAAGAAATGGAATATCACTGTAGTGCCATCACAAATCTATTTGTGTTAGTTAGTTATGGTCAGTTTGGTCTTGTTTTCACATAGTGAGGATCTTCTATTGCATGATGTTACTTTCTATTCAGCAAATACTTCTAATGAACACCTTTTCATGGTACTGTGTTTAGGTATGTAACGCTTGCCCTGGTATGACAACAGTGTTCAAATAAGCAGTATATGTCCTGCAAAGACAACAGTGTTCAGGTAAGTAGCATATTTTCCTATAATAACAACAGCACTTAGGTAAGTAGCATATTTTCCTATAATGACAACAGCACTTAGGTAAGTAGCATATTTTCCTATAATGACAACAGTACTTAGGTAAGTAGCATATTGTCCTGAAGTGACAAAAGTGTTCAGGTAAATAGTATACATCCTGTAACAATGAATGGTACTCACGCTGCAAGTTCTGTATGGCCATCTGTATCCCCTTTCCTGGCATGCCACGCCCATCCAAAGGAAGACTGGACCCCAGGCGGCCTGGGGCAGGGGACTGGCCCCGGGGTGACATCCCGGGGCTGGGACTGCCACTGCGGGGGCTGAAGTTGCCAGTGAGGGAAGAGTAGGAGCTGGCAGGGCTCATGCCACGCCCCTTTTTGTCCGCCATCTTGTTGTTGTCAGTGAGAGTTGTGGAGATATGTACACATGGTCGTCCTGTCTTGTGCTACTCTACGTGGCTGAAACAAACAGACTCACGTCACAACCAGATGCCAGGATTCACATGCTTTTCAGGGAGAGTGAGTGAGTGAGTGAGTGACATTGGTTTTACGCCGCTTTTAGCAATATTCCAGCAATATCACGACGGGGGACACACATTGTACCCATGTCGGGAATCGACCCTGGGTCTTCGGCTTGACGAGCAAACGCTTTAACCACTAGGCTACCCGACCGCCCCTTTTGCAGGGAGAAGGAAATACAAAACCAGTCATGGTTAACTGACATACAACATTCTACCCTGGCGTTGCCAGTCGGGTACGTCTTGTACTCCCCTCCCCTGCAGCTGCGTTGTTATGATGTACAACAACACGAAAGAGCAAATTGATTGACAACAGCTAGTTTGAATACCATTATTTTATAAATATTCAATGCACTAACACTTGCTAAACTAGAACTAACTTCCTGAAACTGACAACTGTATGCAATAGTGAGCATGTTCTGTACCGTGACAGGCACACCATGCCCTCCATACATTGTCAGATCACAACTTGGAAGTGGCAAGTTTGCGTTACCTCAGCTATATATTTACATCTTATTCATGTTGATTAACCTGCCATAAATAATAAAACAATGGCCATGATTGGATAATGTTTTGTTTTATTGTATACATGGTATGTCATAACACCAGGTGTCTATGTTCTATCACTCTGGATCCAGTATTTCCAAGTCACACTAACTATTGACATCAGAGAAAGATGACAAGGAAGTCGAAGAGTGCAACAAAGTCACGCATGGAAGTAAAAGCCATGCAAGGAGACTGACAATCAAGGTGGGAATGAGAGACAACATTTATTTCAGCCACATGACTACCTATATCCACGTACAATACAGACATGCTATTTGTGGTGCAACGTACACAGCACTTCCTGACTGGACAACAGAGCATTGTGTAACCTGTCTCTCGTCCCTTGATCATGCTGGCAACAACGACAGCTAACACAAAGTGGTTAGTTCCAAAGCTGCTGAGAATAGTATCCAACACTGCTACCCATCAAGGTTGTTTTACTTACATATATATATGTATAGTGTTGGGTCTGGCTGGCTAAAAAGTCGATAATCGAAATTATCATCAATGGGAAGAAATATCAACGATTATCGTATGAAACTGCTGTCATCGATAATAACTCATATAAACTACTGCGATGAAAAATAAAGTTTAGATTTACCAAAACAGAGTTGTTATTGTCAATATTGTCAAAGACGGAAAGCCACCGTTTTACAAAGTAATCCATGCTTAAATGTGTCACAGCTCACCAGAGGCGTGAAATCTGTTGATATTTATCGATATTTGATTGATATTTAGTCAGCGATTATCAATCTCTTTGATCTATATCGATAACCAACCCTAGTGTTGGGTCCCTCTAACCATTAACTAATGCACACAGTACAAGTTATACCAGCACAAAATAGCCATGATTAATAGAGTAAAATAGAATTTTGCATATACAAAGTTGCAAGTCACTTAACAAAGTTCCAGTCTTAGTGAAGTATACTGTCTCATATACACAATGTTCCAGTCTTAATGGAGTATACTGTCCAGTCATAGTGGAGTATACTGTCTCATATACATAATGTTCCAGTCATAGTGGAGTATACTGTCTCATATACACAATGTTCCAGTCATAGTGGAGTATACTGTCTCATATACACAATGTTCCAGTCATAGCGGAGTATACTGTCTCATATACACAATGTTCCAGTCATAGTGGAGTATAATTGTCTCATATACACAATGTTCCAGTCTTAGTGGTGTATAATTGTCTCATATTCACAATGTTCCAGTCTTAGTGGAGTATACTGTCTCATATACACAATGTTCCAGTCATAGTGGAGTATACTGTCTCATATACACAATGTTCCAGTCATAGTGGAGTATAATTGTCTCATATACACAATGTTCCAGTCATAGTTGAGTATAATTGTCTCATATACACAATGTTCCAGTAATAGTGGAGTATACTGTCTCATATACACAATGTTCCAGTCTTAGTGGTGTATAATTGTCTCGTATACACAATGTTCCAGTTTTAGTGGAGTATTCTTTCTCATATACACAATGTTCCAGTCTTAGTGGTGCATAATTGTTTCATATACACAATGTTCCAGTCTCAATGGAGTATGCCCTCTCATATACACAAGTTTCTAACTATGTAAACTTCGTCCAAAACCTACCATAATCAGTTGTGGCTGACGTTTGATGAAGTTGTTAGTACTTAAGTGTAAAGTAGTTGTGCAAGTCACTGGCCGGATGCCCCCTATGTAAGTTGTAAATACTTTCTGAATGGCTGGCATTTGACAACAAGTACCGGCACGCTCGACAATTGCCCCTCTAAATCTAACCCTGTCAACGCTCGTGTTGCTGTCTAACTTCGGCAATGTCAGTTGAGAACCAGGGGATCTACCATCGACTGATAAGTATTAGCTGGCACGTCTCAGACAGTACATAGATGTGTCCACATAGCCCCACCCGTCCCAGGTGCATGTTCCGAGACACTTGTCAGTTGAGAGTCACAAGCACAGAGCGTATGCACAGAGGCGGTGCACATTTCATGCACCTCACAAACATGGCTCACTTGCACGACGCTACTGCGATATTCCGTAAATTGTAATTTTGTCATGAACTACAAGTATAACTAGTTTAATCCGTGTGTTGGTTTTAAATCCACATAGAAACTCACCTTATCGCCTTCTGCCTGTCGCTAGCAACTGTAAATAACTCAATGTGCGCGCTCAGCCGAACAGCTAGCCACTGCGTGAACACGCCATCTAGCGGTGATACTGGAAGCGCGCCAGGGAGTTTTTATGAATACTTACTCCAGTATATGACACTTAATATAAACTAATGCACATTCTATAGGTCGCCCCTTCCCACTGTGTCATGGGTCAGTCCAGCTCGAGCGTTGTCCAGCACTAAACGCTGGCCATCTACATAGACTCCGTGGGGGGTGAAGAACGAGTGGTGGAAAGTGCGACAATAGTGTATTGGTTGATCCAGACCTGACAATGTCAATCAATATCGTGCAAGGGAAGGCTTTTAAACACCTTGTGCGTATTTCATGTCATGAATGCACAAAGATGGCTGCGTTTTGTATAACCACTTGCTCAAACTATTTCAATATGAAAGGGGTAGTTAAAAATAACTGCAAACACAGTTCCTAGAGATTGTTTTCGATGCCAAAGGGTTTAAAGTCTCTTTCAACCTACCTTGTTTCCGAGCTCGTTAACGTTTCGTATCTGGCCATGTTCACAACAGAAACAACAAACAAGCGTTATGTCACCTACATCCGGCACAAACAAGTGTACCTATTTCAGGGTACAAATCATATTCCCCGAGAGCGGGTAGTTGTGCGTGTGCAGTGTGGTAGGAGACGTCTGACTATATACAATGTTGTTGTTTTGTTTTTTTCTTTTGTTTATAGTTTAACACCGCACTCAGCAATATTCCAGCTATATGACGGCGGTCTGTAAATAATCGAGTCTGGACCAGACAATCCAGTGATTGACATCATGAGCGTCGACCCACGCAATTGGAATACGATGACATGCATCAAACAAGTCAGTAAGCCTGACCACCCGATCCCGTTAGTCGCCTCTTACGACAAACATTATCTCCTTTTAAGGCAAGAATTGGTTGCTGAAGACCTTTTCTACCCCGGATTTATATAAAGTATACAGGTGGTATGATGGAGCTGGTTGAGTAGTTCTGTACACATAGGTAGATCGCCGATCAATGCTCACACTTTCGACCATCGGTTGACCTTGTCCAGACCCAATGCCTGGTACATTCTTTAGTATTTACGTCGTAATGATGACGTCGTCAGATGTCATGACGTCTCAATATGTACAAGGGAAACAACTGGTGTCGCTGGTTCAGAGCGCTGCGCCAGATATCCACGTGGTGTGTTTAAGGTATATTATGCTGCAGGCACACCTATCCACCACTCCAAGTTTCTGTCATGGGCGGATGTCTGCAGAAGACATCAGATATCGATGCATCAGTTGCAGCAACCCAGCATGGTGCCCGATCGGCACGCTTCGCCAGGACCACAGGCTTTGATGTCTCGCTGGCACAATACTGACAGTGATACTGTTCAAATACCGACCACCTTGGTCAACACACGCCGCCATCAGCAGGCACAACGATGGATGATTATCGATGAGTGGAGCCTTAGTTACATGCTATCTCAAGCATACTGCTACTGGTAATTATTCACATCAACGTAATGGAATACAGCGAATGATGTGTCATGTGGTCGCGAGCAGTATTCTGCTATATATACCAGGATTGCCTGTTCAAGTTGTCTGTTTGTTGTTTTCCGCCGCAATCCCAAATATCCCAGCTATATGACGGCGGTCAGTAAATATTCGAATCTGGACCAGACAATCCAGTTATTGGCATCATGAGAATCGATCTACGTAATTTGGATAAGTTGACATGCATCAACCAAGTCAGCGAGTTTGACCACCCGGTCCGTTAGTCGCCTCTTACGACAAGCATGGGTTGCTGAAGACCAATTATAACGCGGATCTTAGCCGTTCACGTAACATAGTTTGGACGAGGCAATCCAGTGATTGCTATAGCCCCGAGTAGTCTGACAGTCGTCGCAGATGAGTGGACTGGTCTGTCTGCTCAGAAAGAAGTCATTCTCTGCACCCGAGTTTCATTTGTTCAGTTTCTGTTATACGCCAGAGTGATATTAGTCACGTGGTGTTAGATCCCACCTTCGTGTATGGCATTCTTGTCAATGGTTTTAGTTCCTCATTCTTTGACATATCAAGAGGATGCCGTCATGGAGATCCCTTTCCTACTTCTATATTCATCCTATGCGTAGAAATTGGTGACACCGAGTATCTTCAGACACAATAAGCAGACGACACAATCTGTTTTGAAGTAAATGCTATGGTGGATATAAACTTTGAAAACCATCTTCCCGAGGCAAGGGCGTTAACTGACTTTATAAGCCCACTTTCTACACTCACGTCAGTTAACTCCCTTGCCTCGGGAAGATGATGAAAACAGGTACAAACAATGTGAAACGCTGATGTCAATTTGGTCAATAAGACACCTAACCTCTTTTGGTGGGAACACTATTTTTACCTCACTAGTTCTGCCCAAACTTAACCACATGTTCTCATCTATTCCAAATCCACCTTAAACAGAAATAAATAAATTTCAAACAAAATGTTTCAAAATATTGCGGGGAAGTAAACCGGACAAAATAAAAAGATCACAAATAATATGTGACACTGTGGATGGAGGGATTAAATGACCTAAACTAAGAGAAGTCATACAATCTCAAAAGATTTCGACGATAAGACGAGCCTGTAGAACCCAGTCTAAATGGTGTTTTTTATTCTTTTTAACTACCCCAGGAATAAATGGTCAAAATGTGTACCAGATCAATAGCCTGAGGCAAAAGCCATATATATTATTTAGAGTAACAACACGTTCTATGAAGATGTACTGATGTCTTGGTGGGCTTTCTTGGACGATCTAGAAAATAATAATATTCCTGCCGTGGGTATTCTTTCACAAAATGTCTAGTAATGATAACATGCATGTGGGGAAGGAATCGGCTGTCTTCCACATGGGCTGCAGAGGGGGAATTGTTATATAGGCATTACTTGATTACTTGGAAGTTGACGGGTGGCAAAGTAGACACAATTTATGGATAACAACTTCTTTAATTACTGTAAAGGCGACGTTTCGGTATAGATCCTTACAACGGTAAATTATACCGAAACGTCGCCTTTACAGTAATTAAAGAAGTTGTTGTCCATAAATTGTGTCTACTTTGTCTGCAGAAGGCATCATCTTTATTAAAGATTTTATTGATGAAAAGGGACACTTTCTCTCATTTGTACAATTCACGGAGAAATACAATGTACAACATTAAAGTAATTGTATTAACTATCTAAGTCCGATCCAGTCTATTCAGCAATACTGTCGGCAACAGGGCATTCTGAAGCTGAAAAAACTTAGAACAGGTTCTCAATATTTCTATAACATAATTATGGAATAAACAAATTACCAAGAATCAACACTTTCAAAAGTGGGAATCCCTGCTAGGAGTGAAATCTGCGAACACAGATCGTTCACATTACAATCTTGTACCGTTTAGGTGCACAAAGCAATGTACATTTCATCGTATTCTACCTGCACTTCAATTCTTTAAATGGGATACGTGGACAGTGACTTGTGTAACTATTGCTCAAAGGATAACGAAACTATTTCGGACCTATTTTGAGAAAGTCATCCCGTCCACTGTGGAAAACTGGCTACTCAAAATACTCAATAGTACTCAATAGTACTACTTACTAACAAAATATATTGCAAATGTAAATTATGATATTGGATATTCAACAAGACTGGTCAAGCTGCCATCTACTCTTCCCTCAATGTACAGTAACTGTATGTGTAATATGCGCAACTGCAAAATAAAAATGCAACAAAATAATAACTTATACAAAAATAAAATTATGTACATGAAGAACACGTAACAGCGGCGTAAACGTATATTCACTCGGTATGTTGACAGACACCCCCCCGGGCCTCACCCCTGCTGTCAGCTATGACCCCTTCACCCAAGGAGGAACAGCTGCATCAGTGCAGGGCGGGTCACAGCTGTACCAGAACGAGTTAACACAGGCACAGGGTTTAGTTTGTAGACAGGCCGTGCACGGGCCGAAATAAACCTGAGTTTATAGCTGAGTTGAATCCAACTGCCTTCATTAACCATGTTAAACAGATAGGTAACATTGTGATACATACGTGGCCGTTACAAGACGCACCCCGCCGTGTGTGTATTCATCGGGCTATATCAATGATACTGCACTGCATCAGTCGGAAAGCGCACGTTAAATCTCCAAAGTAAGTAAGTAAGTAAGTAAGTAATAGACAGTGATAGACACGAGAAGGGTCTACAACACGTTGTGACGTCACAGGTCGGATTCAGTCAGGCATGCACGTACCTCATCTCGCACAGGGGGGAGGGGATAAGCACGACGGGAGGATGTAGCATAGTACGATATTCGCCCCATTCTACTCTCATCCCTATCTCAGCTCCAACAGCCCACACACTCCCCCTTTCAACTCTAATTAAAGGGCTGGATCAGTTTTACTCGAAACAGATTTTGAGGGTCCCTTTATAGATATAGTTAGCCTTATACATAGCTGTATTTGTATTAAGGGGCAATATGTAAGTCTACAGGCTGCCCTTGTACGCCAGCCTGTAACACCGACCAGTGGGATCCTATGGTGGAGTGTTATTATCTGTATTTTAGTTTGAATTAAGTACCAAATGTTAATAGAAATTTAATTAGTTAATTTCCTTCTTGTTACGTACATGCGCAAGTACTCGGCCGTTACCACAAGGATATACTACCTGGCTGGTGTACGGCAGCTGACTGGTGCACCCTAGACTGGCATAATCATAATTTCTAGATTATGTATATAATAAGAACAAGCTGTCCCTATAAGAGACTGGAGTCTTTAGATGTCCACAAATCTAGACTTGCATACTAGGAGGATAGAATCACTACACATCCATGGACTTCTTTTGGAACGGCCTTGGAGCAAGTCTAGGTGCACCCCGACAAGTGGGGGTTATACCAGGAGTGATGGGGCTCGGCGAGACATGACACTGAGAACTGCGGCAACAGACGACACGTCATCTGGAGACGATACTTTATAGTGAGGGCTAGTCCAGCACCATGACCGTGGAATATATTTATTTTATGAAAAAATAATAATCTAGAAATGCACACAAAAGCAAGTCTAGCCAGCTCAAGC